GCCAAAATATGGCGTTCAACAGAGGAGGCAAAACAGGCACAGCTTCTTTAGAAAAGGCCAGAATGATGCAGTGATAATCGTTATTACTGATATTACCGGGCAAGGCCTGTCCCCATCAGATAAGGTACTGCTTAATGTTAACTATTAATCAGATAATTCCAATAATCACGAGCCCTATTTACTCAGGCTTAAGTAAATTTACTAAAATGACATCCAGAAGAGAGAAGACAGTGTCTCAATCTATGATTGGTTTATTTTGATTGTTTTTGCAGACTTTGAAAGTGAATAAGCGCTGGCATATAGGACCTGCCAAAATAAGCTTTGGTTGTAGAAGGATGGGCGGGAAAACATGTGACCAGGGAAAATTTGTGAGGGTCAATAAGTAAGGATAAATATGCGAATGGAATTCAAAAAATTCGGATTGGTTGGTTCGCAGAACGCACTCCTTGCAGATACTTGTTTTTATCGCTCCCAGGATCTTTGGGAGTGTCAGATCGCAAAGTACTGGATTAAGCCCAAGTCTGTGGAGTTTGAGCAGGACGAATTGAACACTGTTTCCTATCAGCCTTCTCCTATAATTGAAAGTCAATCAGAATTTACAACAACGAGACTCTCAAAACCAGAAAAAAACCCGTACTTGGACAAAGTTTTGTTGATTCCCGGTGTCTACTTCATAGGTATAATAAACGCTAACGCGAAAAAATATAAATTTACCTTAAAAGTGTGTTTGTGCACAGAAAGGAAGATAAGGCCTGGAAGATTAGGCCGTTCTGAAAAAAACTCCCTTAATTCCTCGTACTTAATTCCACTTTTCATTGAAATTATTTAGGGAGGGCATCCGCTGATTCTTAAAGCCGTCAGAGCAAACACACCCTGGAATGCGGCGTGTTATTGAAGTTAAAAATTCCACAGAAGCTGCAACGGCATATCAATAACACAGGCAATACCAAAACGGAGCCGCCACTCCGTCCATTATCACTTACTTGCCAAAGCTCTCTTAAACAGTGCAACTTGTTTTCACACCAGACACTCACAAGTTTATATGAGTCTCAAAGGGCTTACCTTAAAAACGACCCCCCTACTCAACTGCAGTGTCAAAAACATCTAACACTCACTTACAAATGCTCGTTTTATCGCTGAACTGGCACTTTGCGCCACTCAAGAGATGTCTGAATAAAAGCAAATTGTACCAAAACACACTTACGCACGAAACTTTCTTGTCGGGAAAAGGTGACACCCTCAGCCGGCCCCAGAGCCTCCATTTTAGTCTGTAATTCTTCTCCGCTAGTTACGACTCTCTGACAGAACGTCACGGCTAAAATCCAATGGGAGCAGTAGTTCAACAACAAAACCGATTAATCTTTATTTTGAAAAACAAACTGCCGACTGTTTAGACTTCGGTATTTACAGCTCAGGCCACGTTCAATAATCTCTTTACCAGTACAGTAAAAGAAAAAGTTTCATAAAAGGTAGCAGCTTATAATCAAGGAAGATAGGGGAGGCGAGTCCATCAACTAGGGGCAAACATATTGTGGCAATGGCACAAGTTGATCAGAATAAATAATTAAAAATGTCACTTTCAGGACAGAACCGACCTCCATTTTCACTTACGTTCAGATATCTTTTTGGAGATAAACATATTTTGTTCTACCGCAACCTTGATCGCATAGAATAGGGTTCGGGCCTTCGGGTAGAATAATGAAAAAAAGAGTGAACAGTTGCGCAATTCAAACACAAGTGCTTCCTAGTTTTCACACTCTTGAAAATAAATGAGCATGTTGGGGTGTGAACACTTCGATTATTAAGTCCCTTAGATTGAATACTACATAGAACTCCCTGCGTCTCAGCCAATAAGATTTATTCAAGGTGCATTATGTACATACAGAGAATGGCTTTAGTCCATAAATCTAACCTAACTCCATAAGGAAATCCAAATGCACGTTTCATGTCTTGAACGGTTGCTGAAAATCGAACCGTCCAAAAGTTCAATTAAAATGCATGCTCTTTCCGCTTAAAATGCAAATTTGAACATATTAACCATGAAAAATTTATAAGTGTTCCCTTCGTGAACACGATTCACCAAATATGACGTAAATTTTAATCTGCTTGTACAACTGGAAGGATTAACACAAAGTGGATAGGCTTTTAGGTCTAATTTGGAACACAGTGCACAGTAGAGAGTAGTAATAAATTATACGCAGTATCTTAGAACGGTTAAGACTTAAATTGAACTATGCAAATGCAGCATTCACATAGGGTACGGTAGTTTGAAATATTTTTGGATGAAGACTTTAGTTTAGTTTTTCTTTGGTTACTTTTGT